AACACTACATGAGAGAAAAATGTAAACGAGAATAAAAGATAGATACATACAAGTGAAAATATTTCCATGAGATTATAAATATCTAATAAAAGTTGTTAATTGATGTTTTTAAAGTACATAAAAAATCAATAGTAAATTGTCATTTTTGTGTTACATTGTTTAACAATAAACAAAAATATTTTCATTTTTTTTATCTAGTTTGTCTTCTATAGTAATTTTCTCTTTTCAGTATTGCAATACGTTTTAAACAAGTGGTGTAATAGAAACAGTACGATGAGAATTGATTAGTTTAGTCAATAGTTAATTATGTCAGATACATAAAAATCATGAATCTCAATGAAGAATAAGTTCTTTATTTCTTTTTACATAGTTATTAGTAGGTAAAACTGAAGTTAGATTTTCCCTAGAAGGCTGATGTGACGCTTGGTTTCCTAGGGAGAATAACGGGAATGATCCTGTTACATATAAACAATTGTCAGGCACCTATGAAATAGATATTTAGACAAGATGACTTATCTTTCATCCGTTCAACTAAGTCAAATAAAGAACACGTTAACAACCTGCCTAACACATAAATATCATGACAATTAGGAAAAAATCTAAAGAAGAAGATATGGTTTCTTCGTGTTTATTAACCAGTTACAGCTTACTACAGTTGAAAATACCCATCAAGAACAAACTGAAATCTTTAATAAACGAACACTACTTGAATTGTTTGCCGCTATCCTAGTAAGTTTATCAAATCTTTAGTACTAAAGTAATTTTAAAAAATCCATGCAACCGGTACCTATCTTTTGATTTTAATATATTCCGATAAATTTAACACGTCGAAATGTTGAACATTCTGTAACCTAAGAGATTAGGTGTAAATACAGATCAAGAGTAATAATCCTGTCACACATTACCCATAACGAAGAGAACACAGTGAGGGCATCTCTTCTCCGCAGAGAACATTTGTTAGCTCATTATAACCTCTATATCCTTCAAAAAACACCACAACAATAAGAATTCTTTACCTAAAGCCTGGTAATAGAAATAAGTTGAAACTAGTAATAAATGATTTACGTACCAAACAAAAAAGTTCCCTATTTTCACGTAAACCAGAAAACCTTGTCGAAGACATATGCCTAGATATATCCGAGATAAACTATATATCCCAACATACATCATTAATTGCAATCAAATATTAACATTATGTTACTGTTTCTTTGTGCTTTCAATAAAACCAAATCACACCCTTGAGTTGACAGTATGTTACTATCGATTTTTAGCTGGATAAAATCCTGACGATTACATTTTTAGCCTGAGCTCAGATCAGAATATTTTGATTAGTCTAATTTTCAGTCAATCGATGCTAGAAGCGAGACCGACAACATACTAAAAGTCTCACTTGCAGGATCTATAAAAAACCCTGTATTTTTACTACTGCATTTCTTGTTGTCCCGGTTATCTAAAATATATCTTGTTTTCCTTTCATCACTGTTGTAATTTCGGACAAGTCAACTGAAATACAATCGATAAGGCATACTAGACAAATCAGAACTAACATTAACAATACCTAATTTTTATTGTCTTAAGTTTAGTATCTTCAATACTTTTTTGTTAGTGTCGGTATTTTCATTTCATTGCTTTTCAGTTTAATGACTTTCACTGTGTTAGTTTCAAATGTGGCAATTTGGAAGGATACATATTCATACAGAATTCTATATTGTTAACGATTGCCTATTTTTGTATTCATAGTAAATGACTGAATGTGCAATTTATTACCATTTTAATGGATGTATGTATATGTATATTTCGTTTTAACAAATGAAACAGATAAATAAAATTCAACTTGAATATTGATCCCCATGAATTCTAATTTGCTTCCATTTCTGAATAATTTCTCGTGCGTAACTTATGATTGTTTTATAAGATAAAACTTTTATTAACATGACTTCACTAAAGCTCTTAGATCACAAACAGAAAACACTATTCAACTGTGGTATTCGAATACAGTTTGAACATTAAACTTAAATGAACGATAAATACTCATTTACAATCAAATAATAATTTATTCTGCTTATAAACGGTACATAATGATGGAATAGTGGAATTCGGCACTATTTTTATTACCCCTTGCAGTTATATAGGTTGTTGAAGCCGATTAGCTTATCTGGACACTCACTGATGACACGGTACAACTACCGGGGATCAATAGATGCTTTTGTCTTGATCTTCCTTTTTCTTATTTCCAATCCAGTGATTGCAGACCATTTATGAACCACATAGCAATGATTAACCATACGTTTCCAGGTTAGTAATTTCTTTATGCGTTGTTCATACGGTCATTTTACTTAAATGACTATCTGCGTTGTTTTTATTGTTGTTTTTCACGATTGTCAAGACTCCAGGGTCTTCTGTTTGTTTATATTCCGTCGTTTTCTCTTCAAATTCATTGAATTTTTGTGGATAGTATGTCTTATCAGTCATCCTTGTGTTTTATACTGTTTTAGACAATCTTTTATTGGACATGCATATATGTCTGTTTTCATGTTTTCTATTTCTCTATTCCCATGATCATTTCTGTAGTGAAGATGCATCTTTTTACTGGTAGCAAACATTCAATTGCAGTTTTCGTTTAGACATCTGATTATCAGCTCTCGTTTTTCAATTATGATGGGTTTATAATTATCAATTTTATCTAGTCTTATTTCGGTTTTCATTAACTTATATCACACTCGGATTAGCTGAATAATCCAACTCAGTACGCAAGTATACATCGATCCGCTCAGCTTTTTTAAGTGAAATTTACTCAACTGAAGATTAAAGGAAATTGAAATATGTGACACAAACTTCGAACAATTTTGAACTAACTGAATCACAGCACGTTAAAGTCGATCAATCACTACACATTGCCTAATAATCTACTTAGTAAAAAATTATAGCCATCAATAATTAAATAATATACGCTTGACATACAATATGTTTAACAATAATCGAAAACGGCAGGTTCTGCTGGATTTAGAATTGATAAAGAAAAACTAAGCCAAATATGACATCTAGAGGGACGTATAATTAGAGTTTACTAATATGATAAAATGTCTATCGAAATTTTACAAGCATAGATCACATTTATTTTGAAAGTAACCAGTAACTCTAACCTACTACGAGATTAGAAATTATATCAGGTTTCTGTGAAAGTGAGAGTCTGGATCCTCAGCCCCAGTAAGGTTGAGTTCAATTTCGGGTGTACAATGTTAGATAGTTAGAAAAACCAATCACTAATGTGAAGCGTTTATTACAATTAACACAGAGCTAATCGAATTGGATTCATTTGTTAGTCGTCCTAATCTCTAATCCACAACACAAAACTAACTTCAGGTGACATTTGTTGCTACAACACAAGTGTATATGACCTGATAACATAGTAACTAACTAAATAAATGATTGACTCATTTACCAGAAGAAAAATCAATAATAAGTCACCTAAGAGAATCATGATTATAACTAACAGATTATTAAAAGCAAACAATTTACCGTACTTATTATCGTGACAATAATAGTAATAATAAACCATGTGATACTAACTATTCTCTACATAATCATTGGTCACTCATCAGCACATCACATTGAAAGTCAAAGTCATACATTATATAGCATAAAAATTATTGTCTTTTAAAAAAGTCACTGAATTTAACCTGACGCTCATTTAAACAGTATGAATACGAAACATAACTATTCACTTACACCTACTGAGAATATTTATCAAATGTGAATAAGGAATAAGGTATGTGATACATTATGTCAATATAGTATTTATGAATATATTTAGAGGATTTATGAGTCTACATACAGATTTTATGTTCATTCATTTTGTAACAGATATAGACCAATAGAACTGAGAAATTAGAATCAGGTAAAGATAAAAAACATTGATTATCTATAACACTAAATATATAGCTATCTTGTTTGCTTATTTGTTATTCACTAATATTCCTGTTAAAATCATTTATTCATACATAATTAATGATTAATTGCCACATCAAAAATTAACTACTAAATTAACTCAATAATAATTAAGCATAGATAGATTCATTCATTCAGATTTGAATTACATTACTTGTGCAAGCATTAATTATGCTAACCAGATGCCCGAAACCAGTAAGAAGGTGAAAACCGGTTTGAATTAGTGAATAACTATCAAACTCAGTCAAATGTATTGGAGGATAAAATAGCACCACTAGTTAATTATCAGAGAAATATTTCTAAATGAGGATCTTATTGTCGGGTCTACATCACACGATTGACTAATCAATAGGTCAAATGCATTCTCTAGAACTAATAATAAAAAGTCACTTGTTCACTATGTATTTGTTGTAAAATTTACAAGTTAAAAGAGTAATTGTGAGAGAAAACTAAATACATGTTCTGTATATTCCACGAAAAGAAGGAAATATTTGTTCAATATTACTTAATGTATGACGCCTAATTAACCTATCGTGAATGCTGTTTTTCAAATTATGTAGAAATTTTTAATTCAGTAACTTAATAGTTCAACAATTTATTGATTTATACAAAACATAAATGCGCCAATTCGAATTTAGATCTTGATAAAGTTAACAAAACTAATCATAACAAACCAATGAATTAAAACAATATGACTCAGTGTATTCAATTACTAAAGTGTTTGTGTTCAAATTATCAGACCGATTAACGAATTGTGACAGTTTCTTTGCGTGATTGAATAAAACTGCAAAAAAATATCTGATCGTTTTTGTATACTCCTTATGTGATACTAATCAGCTGTTTAAAGTGAAAAAACAGAGTTCGAGTTTGCATTCCAATGAGTGAAAATTGAATACTCCACCTCGACTGCATTTATAGGTTAAAAATATGATGATAAGACCTCATTATAAGCTGAATAGTTAACCTTCAAATAATCTCTATTAGAAGACAAAAACACTCAAATAAACCAAAATTTTCCCTTAAAGAGAAACGCAATGAATTTTTCAACTTACCAATAACACTTTGTAATGCCTTGGATATTTTGAAACATTAGCATTGGTAATATTTGCATTTTCCATTCATTCACAAATGATTTGAAAAGAACCAACGACAGTCGATAAAAAAACAAAAGATGAAAAAAAATTATTATTACGGTAATTATAACGGAAAATTACACGTGAGGACTTACTAAAATACATCAATAATAGTAACTTGATAAATTCATGATCTAAATAGTATGTAGGCAACACGTTAAAAGGAATTTTTACTCGAAAATCCAATTGACTAAGTAAGTAACGCTTCTTTGTTTTAAAGGAATGAATATTTGAGAAAGGTTGAACCTATAGAACTATTGTAGGGGGAATTAATTTTGTGTATTTTTTTATGTAATTACTAAATATCTGGTTTATAACTTTATATTGTTTTAATTATGAACTTTTATTTACCTCGTTAATTATTGATGAAGGTTTTACTGTTTCAGAATTGTCGTTAGTTAACTAATCGAACACTGCATCTGGATCCCCTCTAGGGTTACTCACAGTAACTGTAGATTAGTGGCTAATGCATTCGAATTTCAGCCACTACATCTTAGGTTGGAACTTTGCCTAACAGCTAGAGTATGGTACATACCCAAGCACCTGACGGATGAGTTAATTATTACTATTAATAATGTTAGGCCCCATCCCAAACCCAAGTAAACGCGGAGGGTCTAGTATAAAGTTGGAAACTGCAGGTACAAACAAGCGAATAACAAAGAGCAATAAAGTTGATCAGTGGAACAAGTACAATACCCGGGAACTATGACAGAAAGGGCTGTAAGAGAATGGAATATGGAAAACCATATGATACAATTAAGTCTGTAGGGAAATATAGTGAACCTGAACGATCAGTGAGGAATAAGAAAGAGAAACCAATCACTGAGGATGAGAAGGAAAAAACAAGTGGGTAGAAAACTTGATTATGGGAATTTATTTATTTATTTGAACACATAAAAATTGGTACAAGAGGGGCACCAGATATATATGCGCCACACAGAACAATGAGAATGAGAAGAGGAAAAGAAGGTAAGGTGCATATAAGAAAAGAAACAATAACGACCACAGATTAGTGTGTGGTAGTGTAATACTAATAGGAAGAATAATAGGGGAAACGTAAGGGTACAAGCAGAAGAATTCTTCCAGTTAAGGAAGTTACAACCACTTTTTATGAAGAAAGTAAAAGAAGGTTACAGCAAAATCGCTACTGGCTTCTATTCTGAGCCATATCTGATAACGTCTCTAGCCACTGTGTTGCACCATCTCTCGGACCCCAGCCAGTGAGTCGTGAAGGACCAACACAAGCCAGCCCTTTGCAGCTTTCTTTCATACCATGACACCATGTCATATACTGACCACCTCTCCGCTTTTTACAGCCAGTCCCAGAGTCGGTAAATAATGCACGACGTGGAATTCTCTGGGACGACATTCGTAGAACATGTCCAGGCCACTGAAGGCGATGTTTCAAGATGGTGAAACCAATTGGATTATCATCTCTGCACCCGAACACACGATGCCAAACCGCTGCATTACTAACATATTGTCGCCACTGGATGTCAGCAATCCTTCGGAGACAACGATGATCGAACACAGAGAGTCATCCAACATCATCAACCCGGAGAGGCCAGGGTTCGCAAACATAGAGAAAAACTGCTCTTACTGACGCGTTGTAGATCTGACCCTTCACGGCCAGAGTGACATCACAAAGGCGCCAAAGGTGACCCAGATTGGCATAAGCCACTCTGGCTTTCACCATACGTACATTGATCCCATCACTCACGCCACCACCAGCACTTATGCAGCTACCCGAACACACGAACTTCTCGACTACTTCCATCTGTTCACCATTAAGGTGAGTACAGGATCACGGTCCTGCCACTCTTGTAGAAGTACTTTGCACTTCGAAGGTGCAAAGCACATACCGTACCTACGGACACCGATTGCCAACTGATTAAGTGCGGATTGCATGACTTGGGCATTATCGCACAGTAAGACAATATCATCCGTATACTCAAAATCGAGAAATCTTTCTCCATGCAACAGACCCACACCGCCATTACTTACATCCATCATCGCTGTTTTCAGAACGTCATCGACAACAAAGTTGAAGAGGAATGGCGAGATTGGGCAACCCTGTCTAACCCCACTGCTCGAATGGAACAATGGAGAAAGGTGGTTGTATGCCCTCACTCTGCATGAGGTGTTTTTATACGGGGCTTTTAGGATGTTAATAAACTTTGCAGACACACCATATTTCGATGGACAATCCCAGAGAACATTCCTGTCCAACGAATCGAAGGCAGCCCTGATGTCATGAAACACTACGACTGCTGGCCTGTGATAAGTATGAAAAAGCATTTGACAACATGGATAGAGACCTTGTGGGATCTCCCTAAACATCACAGAGTACCTAACATGACCCCCTGAACCTATGCCTACTAAGGATTTAAGTTCAATATTTGTAGAGGTGATTCAGTCAACTCGCCTAATGGGAACGACTCCAAGTAACTGGTCGATCTCATAAACAACTGATTTCCAGCTTGTTTCGTTTGTTGAAATTACTGTTGTTAAACCACCTTATACAAATTGTTGCTCTTATATTTAGAAATAAAAGAATTATTGATCGTTAAATAAATAAAACGAAAACCAGAGTTTAGGACATTGAAATTATGCAGAGAAAGTAAAAATTAAAAACGCCTATTAATTGAGAGAATTCGTTAGACAAATTACTGGACAACCAAAATAATTAAATATAGAATTAATTATTAAAATGAATGTATATAAACATAACAAGGAATAATTAGTTACAATAACAACAAAAACTGTCATGAAAAAGTTCACACTAAACACTGTTTTATTCAAAGTTGTAAACTCACTTCACATATCTCTTCAGGAGATGGGACTGATTGGGGAACTATGCAATAATAAGTGGTAGATAATTGAATTATTAAAAATTCGGTCGAAATATTAAAAATTGTTTGTAATCTCTATTTACTTAAAACCAATGAAATCTAGTGTAATATTATCAACTACATGTTCATGTTTCAAAATGTGGGGGTTAGGGATACTATCCAACAAGCGAAGCTAAAAATTAATTGGAACAGAAGTCGAATCTTTTTACGCAATAATTGGGACCAAAAATTGGTCAAACTGTTGAGCAGTAACTTTATCAATATGATCGATACTTTGACATTACCAAGTTTTAATTATTAGTTAAGTAAACTTTTTATCGCGAGACCAAAACAACATGAGAAAAGTTCGTATCTCTCAACGACAGTTTCAAATCTTTGTCTTTTTAGATTATGACATGAGTATAGTTGCTGCTTCAAGCAAAAGAATTTTACTAAGCAATTATGTTATTTTACAGTATTAATTTTAAAAGCAATAATTCGGTGGTTGTCATTTTAAGGTCAATGGTTAGAATTATCCACTAGTTCGCGATATTTTACACGTTTAGTCATTGAACATGTGTTGAATTTGAGAAGAGAATTGTAGAACTAAATAGATAAAATAAGGCAAAACTTAAGTAGATCAGTCTATGAAGTCAGTGACTGTTGAACTGAATCGTGTAAGTAGGTACACACTACCTGGTTTAGGTTCACCCGAAAGCGTAACCAGTGGTTAGATAACTTGGATGACGTACCTCAAAATCGTTTGCCATAGGTCATGCTCACTCACTCATTATTTTCCCTTAGATACAAATTTTCAAAATCATCCTAAACAGTGTTTCACACTATTAATCTATATTTTCTTCTCGGATCAAAGCCTTTATTATTAGGGATGGTGGGAGAGTCCTAATGGTACAGGTGCATCTGTTTTTTGTCTTCCCTCAAATTCTGAGATTCTAACTTCCTCATAACTTTTTTTGTTTTTACTTTGTTCATTTATATCTGCTCTTCTAGTCGTATCTTTGATGCCCAATCTTTCCCATTACTACTGATACTGCTACTACCTCCACTATCCTAGGATTTGGCCTGACGTCTCTGGACTACTGAGGCATGGCAACTTGAACAGGTATACATACGTACAGATTCTACGTTGTGATTAACTGACTAGCTGAGAGAATTCTAGTTGCATATATTTCCATGGACTGATCAATGGTTTTTTCAGATATGAATAATACTATACATATCTTTAGAGCTAAAAAATCCCTTGTTGTTTGATCTTGGTAACTACGTCATCTGATTAATCCTTCATGAATAAAGTCATTTATCACTAACTAGCAAACAGGTATTATTAATATCATGGTGCAACTGTGAATCGACAATCGTTCATCCCAGATTAATACTAACTCACACCAGCAAACGAACTAGCATGATTCAGTAAGAGCTGGTAAAAATCGATAAAAATTATAGAAACTTCATTTGGTTTAAAGGTGGAGGTTGTTTATTCATTTTTATTCATCACTGTTTGTGAAAAGGATGATTTCGCGGAACTCAAAAAGATTAGTAAATCTAAAAATCGAAGGCAAACGGAATGCTTGTAACGGGTTCGACGGAATTGTAGACAACGAACATCAACTGTATGGCACTACTTAGATGGTAACTCGCAGCAGACTGTTACACAAACATATGGTCCCGAATAATTATATCAAGTACTCAACTACATGACCGAGGAGAAATGTTGATGATTTAACGGCTTAAATTCACCTTTCCATAAATATCTAACCAGCTAATATTCCAGTTTTATATTACTTTTACGTTTGCGTTTTGTTGACCTGAGGATTTGACATGGAAAAAGCTTCAGAAGATGCATCATTTTATCTGCCAATTAATGAAGCTTAAAACTTGCAATTAATTTCGATGTTATTTTTATCTTGGAACATCGATTACCTGGAGTTGAAAGCAGTTCACCATTACAATGAGGAACATTTCCCTTTTGGACGTCTTTAGGCACGTCCTGTCCGTTCACCACCACAGGCGACGCTTCAGACGACAGGGGACTCAGGGATTGCTTGACTTCAGTAGAGTTATCAGACTTGGGGAGAGGTTTGGGTAGCGGTTGAGGGTTCTGTAAAGATTTCTTTGGTAGTTTCTCAGGATTGGAGTCAACTGATAAATTTGTTGGTTGATTTATGTTATCGTTTGGGCGATCTCCTTGGGCGGATGATTTAGTAACAGACTTAAGTTGATTTTTAGCTGGAAGACCTATACCACCACTTCCAAATGGATTTGACATTTCATCGATTTCATCCCAATTAATTTTGTAAGCGCCTACACCACTAACTGGTCGATCGTCCATTGTTTACAAGAACCTGTAGAAATGAATTAAATGGATCAGACAGCTACAAATTTATTTTTAATAACCTGTAAAATAATAGAATTGACGGTATCAAAGGCGAGGATATTATAAAAATGGCAATCTTTTAGATAGGATACAACAATAAAATAATCCAATTCAGTAACAAGGTATTAGTTCTTATGCTTTCTATAAGAAAATTAGTGATATTCGGCTACCCGAAGTTCAGTATTGCCCAGAAAATAAAAAGCAGCTATAGAAAGTGAATATGAGTTACAAAACATGTCTAATTTACAAGTACAAGGTGCTGTCGTCGGAGTAATAACTACGTTCTATTTTAGTACCAGTATAAATATACAATGGGATGTTAACGACTGACAATCTTATGATTTCTTGAAAATTTAATTTTCGTTGGCTTGATAATACGAAATTACTTGAGGTCAATTGAAAGGGTTATCTGCAAACACTGACGTGCTACTGAACCCCTTTGGCTTTAACATTAACAGTCAGTCATAAGCAACGTAAAACCTGGGATGTGCACATTTATTCAAGTTATTACATCTAATCAGCACAGTGAGATAAGATTGTCAGACCAAATCCTAAAGTAGGAGGAGTAACAGTAACAGTAATAGAAGCGATTATGAATCGAGGACACAACGGACTGGTAAAATAGGGACATTCTTAATGTAATTTCGAAATTTGAGATCTAAAGAAAGGCAGGGTGAATGCACTTAACCCGTTACCAAAGATTTTGAGCCGTCACCCAAAGTCTTCAAGGATTGTTTACGATGATCGTGTGGGCACTAACGTAGAAGAAAAAATTTCCCATGAATGCATTTTCAAGTGCTCAATTGCCGTGTAGTAGAAAATCTACCAGACAGTCACATCCAAGATATAAATCCAAGTATACTATAGAAATTAACTACTATCATACGATAGAAATGTGATTACAGTTTTTAGGCAAAACCTAAATACATGAAATAGATAACAAAGATTTGTATAGACTTTTTAGAACTACGTATAGAAAACAAAATCCAAATTTATAATGGTCATGTAAAGTCTCTGATTTTCTAGTCTCAAACTGTCTCTGCTGGTTTTATCATAAGCCAAAAGGCCTTTCCGGTTTTTAGTCTGCACCCAACTTTCCTAAATAATCTCCACACATAAAGACATGACATAGTGATAATGAAGTGAACAGGCTTTGTTCAGCCTCATCATGCATAACGACAAAGCACAAATGTATATAAACATCACAGAACCAAACAAGCCTTTATCAGCTAATGCACAGTGAAGAAAACACTTTTTTTAAAAACCAGGAAATAATTGGTTCGCTTATTTTTAACAGTGGGCAGGGAAACCAAAACTTAAGGATATATTTTAGCACACTGTTTTTTTAATTAATCCATGGTACCAGCTTAAACTAAGCATATAAACAAACAAGACAATTTTCGGCAACCCATATTATCGATTTTAAGTGACGGAGAAAGTAATTTTCGTTTGGCTTTAGTCGATGGTCACCTTTGGATAGCTTTTTTAGATAATTGGATAAAAAGTATTGGACACCATGTATTTTGTAGTCTCTGCCAAGCCACACACTACACACAGCTCACAGATGTGACTCAGTATAACTTGGACCTTAACCACTGGGTTATAAGTTTGGACCCAATACTACGTCACAACCGGGTAGGAACATCGACAGCGGATATATCCAACAGTGTATGGAAAATATTATTTGCTATCACGTTAATAACTAAGATAGAGTTAAAAATCATGTTCTACTGAAAAATATCAACTAAGGACTATGAAGTTAAAAAAATGCATTTATTTATGCGAACTGACGATAGTTGCGATCTAATTTCTCGTCTGAACCTTTCTCTCTACGAGATTTTTATGATACAAATGCCATCATTAAGCTGCATCCGACGTAAGTGAGTAACAGCATAGTCTCTAAACAGAATAATACAGGTGAAAATCACATACAAATACGACTGTACAGCATCATGAAGTGACATCATTGGAAAGTAAATTTTCCTCGCCAGAACGTTCCCATTTATCTCCATGTGGCCGAGATAAATTCTTAATTACCTCGACAAAACTGGAAGTCGTTCGGAAAATCAACCGGTGACTGTAGTCTGTATTAGATACTGACCAACTCTAAATAGAGATAGTTCACCAATCACAGAATCATGTACAACACTAACAAATGACTGACGGAATTGACCAACTAATATATAAATTCCAAAGTCATTGCCTTATGAAGTATGAGTCAAGAGGTAAAACGCAACGCACAAACTAGCCTTTCCTAGATACAGTAGCAGAAAATTCTATTCTAACTGATCAAAACGTAATAAATCGTATAAACATAAAATAAAACTATGAGATATGACTTTAACCGTCTAATTTCAAAGAATCTACGAACAAGAACAACGTTAGAAACACCTCGAAAATACACCAACCAAAGGTTATCAAACGTTTGCAAAATAAACCAATAACAAACCTGCATAAAATAAATGACGATATCCAGAAAAATTTCGGGGCTATTTTGCTCAGAAAACCAGGACCAGTGAAGTTCCCAATTCCGGAATACAAATAAGGAATATCAAATCGTCAATATTCTTTAATACCAATAAGGGTATGCCCCATACAGACTAATTAAAGCTGGACATCAATAACTTGCTTGGAGTGACCTTCAATTCCAAAACCCGCCCTGTAGCAAACAACCAAAGTTGAAGTTAAAATTCTGAAACCCTTAGAATCCAAAAGCTTTTTGAAGGATGGCAGTAGAAATGCCTACTTTATCAATTTCTCTATAGTTTTTTTATCAAAATAATCTTTTCTTAAAAGTAGCGATTATGGTTATAGAACAAAAATTTTCAAGGTTTTCGAGTTGTCTTCGGAATTTATTAAGCTTTGAAGGCATTTTCATCCATCTAAAACCTATGGCAATGCATGTAAGCGGTTAGTCACCCTCTACAATAAATACTTTTGTAATCACCAAATACTGATGCTGGCCTCGTTAATATTGTGAACACTCAGCTGAAGGTGCTCATTTAATTACCACAAGTATGTCACCACGCGAACTAAAATGAAGTACTTCTCATCCTTTAGATATATATATTTAAATGCTATCAAATATACCTTCTCTAACATCATCGAATTTTTGTTCCTTGTCGGGTCAAATCGTCAGTAGGTAATTGGGTAATAGTGTTTTTCTGTGCAGTCTTTTCCATTATATTTTCATGAAAAAGATGAGATGCAACGTTCAAGAAATATGAGCTAAAAATTAGTTGCTTACTCAGTAATTGTATGAGTAGCTATCCTTGCAACTCATTTCAGGAATCTTGTGCCGACTTTTGGTGACCTGGATAGATTTCTTTAGGGCCTACACTGACTTATTCTGGACATTTATTTTTTTATCCTAACATTTTCATGTTCACCTTGGGCGTTTTTAATACACGAATTTTTGTGTATGTATGTTTATCATCACATATAATTTGGACTAATTTTCTGTTTGCTCAATGATGTTATAAACACGAACCATTTTTAGATGTAATCTGAATAACCCCTAATTAAAATCATTTGGCTAGTGTTTTAACTTCATACTGCGTCTACATATCCTCGTATGCACGATTGTTTACTGATGACTGAATGCATGAAACAATTGGATTTCCACTACATCTTTTATTTCGATTTTTTGACTCAACGCTGTACTAAGGTCACATAATAGTGGTAAATTACGAAATTAAATATGAGACACATAAACCATGAACTGTAGTTATACGCGATCTGACGGCTTTTCAAACAAAAACTTGTACTTCGCATGTTGTCCATTAATCTATGCTTCGGTGTGACAGTCAGGGGAAGTCGAGTGCAGCATGCTAACCAATAATACTCAGAACGGTCACGTTCGTATAGAAGTGGTCACATATGTGTAGTAGGCGTCGAGTCGCGATTGACTATGATCACCGCTAGAGGAACACTACGTACCAGATATTAGGTTTGATCCATTCGTAGACAAAAAATCAAAAGGCAATTGACTGTCGCAATAGAATATATTTGTTGGGAATATCGTAGTATTGAAATAATACCAAGATCGTGCCAAATAGTGCAAGCGGGGCTACATAGCGTACGCGGAGGCGTTTATCATTACATGAAATTTGTTTATACTTATGGTCGCTTACACAAAATACATAAAAGAGCTAAAATGTTACTGTACCGTAACATCCTTCTGCTTACTAGATCACAGAAATACACTTATCCGCCTCGAACTCTGTTAATGACCAATGTAGCCGCCAATTTATTCAGTTTTACGAATTTTCCTGTACTTTGCACTCATAATCAAAGCATGTTGTGAAGAATAGGTTCGTAAGTTAGACTAAATCTGCTTTTTCCCATCAAATGTTTGGTCTAGAAGACTTCTAAAGAAAATCCGTTATGTCATATTGCCCATCGATAATTACGTGGCGAAATCGCCACTCACCACACAGATTTTTATGACCTTGTTGGTGTGCTAAACCAGTGACACGTGAGCCAGCACTAGCAGCATTGAGTCAACTCTCAATTTTAATTGTTCCTTTATATAGAAACTTACCACCTGACCCCACCAGCTCGGACCAGAACTTAAATATGGTCTCCGCTGTATGAATCATATATTTCAGGCACACATGTTTTATATACAGGCAGACAGACTGCAACACACCATAAAATATAAAACAATAATTACATATGATCAAGCCAAAGGTAGTTGAGCGTATGGGAGGTTGCAACTTATAGGCTAGGAATAAGTTGAGGATGGTATATCGTACAACAGTAGCCAATAGGTCAAACAAAATTTTATGATGAAAGGAATGCAAAAACATATATATATATATATATATATAATCTATTTACTTAATATTTACCAATTAAGAATATATGTAACAATAGTCCATATATAATTCCTAGCAGTTACCATTCATTTATTCTTCGTACGGATATAACGCAATCTGTTAGCCAGTTTGATAAATTAGAGTATTGAGATATCTAGTTGTTGATATTAGAGGCTATATTTGACCATCTTTTGTTGGAATATCCGGATTCTATGAAGATTGTCTTAGTCAAACTTCACTCCTTTGCATCAACAGCTGGATAATCCAATTTCATATCAAGAATAACATAAATTATAACAACACACTTACGAGAACAATCTTGTTCTCAACTGGGTTGACATCAAGCTTTAATGTAATGTACACAAGTATTTGTATAGATCTATAAGGATAATAGATCAATCAAGGCAACTTAGTGGTGGTCCCCAAACAAAAGGAGCTTACACAAAATATATTGATACACTAGGTTAACAATGATATACCAAAACAAATTGTTGATTAAGAAACCTAGATGTCTGTCCGTTAGTAAAAACAAAGGTAATAAAATACCGTTAGCAATACAAAAGGTATATTAAACAAAACAGACGCTAACAGTTACTATAGAATGAATGTTACTTGTTAACTGCCTCGTGAGGACAACGACCACAAACTGAGTTCACTTGATTGACAGGTGTTCCTCTGCAAGTGACTGCACCAAAGACGTAATGAGGAAGACGGAGTCCAATAGTATTATACAATAGTAATCCGTGCCAAAAGTCCAACGTTGAGTCGGAAGGTCTATAATTATGTTATAATACTATTATAGTCTTCAATCAAAACGGTGGCCAATAAAACAGAAGAACAAACGGCGTAGGTAGTGTTCTATATTTTATATCATTCATCGAAACAATTATCATCGTCTTTTTAACAAGTGATACAGCAAAACAACAGATATTGGATAAAAATGTGGTTACAAATAAAGTGTGACAAATTAGAGAAAAAATGTGGTTTTTATTTTTGTTGTTACAAAAATCACTGAATATATGTCACCATAACTTATCAGTCAGTGATCTTAGTGTAAAAGATTGCATAACTACACTTAATGGTAGGCCAATGATATCTACTCAAAAAAGACAATTTAGCTGGGTTTCGATCTTCAGTGAGCACCCACAAATTCCGCTGTGCTTACAGAAACAGCTAAATTTATTTCGCCACACCTTGTTTACAATGGTAATATGGTGGAAGAAACCACATTATTTCTTATGATTTATCGTATACCTTCATCTACAGAGGCCATAGGGACCCAAACCTATGACCCTAGTTAAAGTGTTCCGAACAATTTCGTGACACTCTGATTCCTGCATAACCGGATTTGACTTAATAAACGATTTTATCAATATTTTTTGGTATCCTGTGCTTGTTCACATTTTCCCACCATATTTGCTATCGAGATCCAGTCACTCAACGGATGATGTACGAAAGATTCTAAACAAAAGCTACTATATTCGAGCCTTAACCTGAAGACCAACAATGTGATGTAGGTACATTCAGATAGTACACCTTAATTAGAACGAAATCCGCATGAGTGTTTTTAATGCTAGCCACAATTAATCTGCACGAAATGATTTTCCACCGAATTATATCAGCTGTGTTATAACAGTATTTCACTAATCGATATTCCAATTTTCTGAGTGACAACTTTTTTCATTGATTTCGAACCTTACACACAAAAATTAAGATGTAACTTTTTAACGCTTAATAAAAGTGTTGATGTGCTCATCCTACTTCAGCATTGACCAATGGATGTATAAATATTTCTGATATTTCATTACATCCAATTGTACCCTCTTAAATGTGGTCGTAGATTTTTGGATTCTTACGTTTAAAGTGACTGTATTTTTATAAGGACAAGGAAATTCACAAATCTGCTCCGAATAATACACCTACTTTTTAGTGAAAAGGCCAAATCATCAGCGTGTTTACCACATCCATATTAGTCCAAACAAAAATTTAACCAAGTTATATATAAAGACACTAGAATGCCAAAGTTTATGGGTTGTGCAGAGTAGATGGAAGATGGCTGATAGTGAAATCCAGGATGTTCATTTCATCAGATGGATGTATCTGGATCTCAGAGTCCGCGTTCACGAAGGAATTCATACCCAATAGCAGATTTCAACCCAGGTACCAAATTTTATTCATAAATTACAAGTAATCAGCACAAACATACATTTTTAATAATAACTATAAAAACTACAAAACAAACCTTCAATTTTTGGGTTTCCGGTGCAAAACCTCCAAAGTGCCAAACCAAAACCGGAGTGAAACCAAAATTTCCGAGGTCAAATATATAAACAAACAAGTCCCAAATTTGAGTAAAACGAATTCATCTAAAACACAGAAAAATTATTAATATTCAATATACAGTTCTTAATCGGTCAAATATTTTCAGTTCTCTTGTTATATTTTTTATATATTGCAAGGTCCATCAGACGTATTTCCATATACTATTTACATTATAATGTCATTATTGAACCTTTATTATTTATTTGATTGGAATTCAAGATTCTGAGATATACATCAGCCACATATCATAAGTGGTATAATCAAACATCCGTGGGAAAATCCGAGGATCTAGACCGTCAGTTAGCTGATTGATCAATTGATTGATTGATTGATTGTTTGATTGATTGATTGATTGATTGATTGATTGATTGTTTGATTGATTGATTGATTGATTGATTGATTGATTGATTGATTGATTGATTGATTGATTGATTGATTGATTGATTGATTGATTGATTGATTGATTGATTGATTGATTGATTGATTGATTGATTGATTGATTGATTGATTGATTGATTGATTGATTG